TGTGTGTGTGTGTGTGTGTGTGTGTGTGTGTGTGTGTGTGTGTTGGCGTCACCCTGAGCAGCCCTGCAGGTCTCCACCTCTCTCTGTGACCTTACAGCCTGACAGCAGCAGTGAGGTTTGACCCGTCTGACGGGCTTTAAGCACACAAGCAAAAGGCACAAACACACCTCAGCTGGGCTCCACATCCGTTCTCCTACAAAGATGGAAGCATAAAGAGATGTTGTGTGACGTAGCTGTGAAGCTCAAACACTCGTCCTGTTTGTCAGTGTTGAGCATGTTCTGCTGCCGTCTTTGTGCTACAAGGAAAAGTCTCTCAGCACTCCTCATCTTCAGCCTGACACTGTTCCACCAGCGCCGTTCTGGAATTTCATGGCAAACCACTTGAGAACTGATGAGTTGATCCTTTTTCAGCCGCTTCAAGGCGCATCATAAAGCACTTAACACCAAAGCGACTCAATAAGACATCTGAGATAAATATTGTACATGATAAGATCGGCAGCCTCTGGCAGCCACGCCTGCATCACGTCTTCCACCGCAGGTTCACATTTGGCAGGAAATCTGAAAACAGGAACTGCTGTTATCTTGCACGTTTTGAAAAGTTTTATTCCAGTTCCACTTTTCTGTTTCAACCGCTGACTGAAGAAGCCTCAGTGTGACGTCAGTCGGCTTCTCAGGAGCCTGGTTGTGGTGCTGTGATGGAGATATCTACATCCAAGTGATGGAAAAGATTTAGTTTGCATTTCTGAAAACTTTGGTGGTTTTTGACCGGAGCTCAGCAGAGACGGAGTTCATACGTCTGACATCCGCTGTTGGCTTCAGCTAATGTCTTCTTCTTCCAAATAATGCCGCGGTGTCATCAGAAGTTCACTTTGCTAAAAGGCTGCTACGTCATGTCAGGACTGCCACGCACACACACACACACACACACACACACACACACACACACACACACACACACACACACGTATCTTTTTGCAGCACAAGTAAAATCTCTGTGGATCATCATCATGCTGAAAAAATACAAAAAGGGAATAATGAAGGTAGCAGGCCAGAGAGAGGGAGTAATGGTGCTGCTGCTGCTGATGGAGGTCTGCAGGTAGAGACAGATGGATGCACAGGTTCCTCATTCTGGCTGCTCCTGTCTCTCCCTCCCTCCCCCCTGACTCTCTTTCTCTCTCCGTTTTCTCCCCCTTTTCTCTTTCTCTTTTTCGTCGTCTGCTCTCTCTCCATCAAGATGCCATTATTCAGGACATTAGCGAAGAAGAGCTAAAAGCTCTCACTGTCGAGGAGGGTCCCAGGGTCCTTTCTGAGAGCTCCACCGCAAAGACACACACATGCACACGCGCACACACACGCACGCACACACACACACACCGTTACACACACACACGCACACACACACACACACACACACACACTTTGACTACAAAAGTACCATATAGTACAGGTGAAGAGGTAAGAGGTGGTAAAAGGTCTTATTGCAGACATTACCAGGTATCCAGGCTCCTCTACTCTCCTCTGTGACCAAAAACATGGACATTAGCTGACAAAGAAAACCAACAGTGCTCAATAAAGCGCCACACAGTGTGTTGCTCTGAGCCGCTGCCGCCGCGTCCTCCTGGTTTATTTATGCTGGTGAACTTTCATACACGCGATCTTCTCCCTTTGCTTGCTTCTTTTATGCTGCCACTCTCATCTCGCAGTGAATAATCTCTAAAAATTGCTGCAAATTGTTGGAACAAATGAGGAGCGCGTGCTGTGTGTGCAGAGCTCCGGGTAATGTACCGAGTGGCAGGAGGTCACCACAGGAGAATACATGTGGTCTGAGATGATCTGCTCTCATCATCAGCTTCACTCTGACAGTCTGGAAGTTTCCTTCAGTTGTTTCTCACCCACAAAAAAACTCCGACTGTGCTGCAGG